CCCCAAAACCCCAAAACCCCAAAACCCCAAAACCCCAAAACCCCTCAGATTTGCAGTGTCTTGAAAATTAGCTAATCATTTTTAACCTTTTGTTCAGCAAGTTCAGCTGTTTTTCTGAAGACACTTGGTCTAAGAATTCTGGCGATCCAGTAGACTGGCACACAAGTGGTGATAGCTCCTAAGAGAAGATAGAACTCAGCCCAGAAGTAGAAATACTTTCCTAGGTTGAAATACACTCTCCATGGATCATTGTCGATTCCACATAATGTGTGGTTGAGATTAGCCCACGTCATTGCTGATAAAGGAGTCAGGAAGAATCTCATGTATACTGTGAAAAACTGGTATCCGACTAGAATATATAATGGGTTTGTATAAACACTATGAGCGAATCTTCCGCTCATCAGGCAGACCCATGGTGCTACAAAGGCAGCAACTCAGTGTTGAACCCAGTAACTGATAATTTCAAGTTGGGTTTCAAGCTCATCATTTTCAGCAAAAACCATTCCAATGGCTGGAGCGGAAACATTTCCAATTCAGAATAAAAAGAGTAGCTCTGCTTTCAAGCTATGCTTCATGTTTAGAACTATACCCCAACAGAGAGTAAATACATGGCATGGATTTAACAGGAAAATCATTGTGTTTGTTCTTGCCTTGGTATAAATCTGAATCATGACGCAGAAGAAACAAATAATCCCTGTTAATCTTTCCACTATCGAAGGATTTACAAACAATGGCTTCCTCTGACTCGACCCTTTTATGAATCTGTATAGAAAATACGCTCCTAAAATGTACAAAGGAATGAGTCTAAGAGTGAGTTTGAACTTAAACTCCAGTGTAGACTCCTTGGCTCACTCAGGACCGCCATTGTAAACGACTTCAAAAGTATCATTGTAAACTCCTTGCAGCATTATCTTCCTGATTTCTCCGGGGATTCCTGTTAAATTGGATTCCATAATTATTTTTATTGCCAGATATTACCAACCCTCTTCTTGTAGGTAGGGGTTTTGGGGTTTTGGGGTTTTGGGGTTTTGGGG